AAGCTCAAAGACTGACAAAACCAACTTTTAAAATCAACTCTTAAAAATCAACCACAAGCCTTTGTCAATATGAAATTAATTATACCTGAATGGATTATAAGACTTTACACAATAAAGGGGGAAATTATGTGATTTTGGTTTAGCTCTATGTGTGTTTACCACTTCTTTCTCTGAGATAAATCACTAGCATGTCTTATTCATGGTTGGACAGGTTATAATAACTGTAACTGCATTCTCACAGCTTAAAGTTGCTCTTCTGATATGACAAAAGTGCATGATGTCCTTCTCCCATGGCATCATTCTTAAAAGTGTCAATCTTGGAAGCAAGCTAATAGAAAGGACCAATAATTTTGCTAACCTGAATTTCTGATTGTGTGATTTGTGGTTACAGGCAGGCTATAAAGGATTGAAGTTCTCTTTTAATGCAGTTGATAATGAGTATCTTAGAGGGTCCATGGCCAGTTGTGTTCTGCTGGCCAACTGTGGAACAATGAACAGAGTATTCATTCGAAAGCCTACATACAATATAAAAGCCAAAGAAACTATGAAAATATCTCAAACCTTGAAAAACTCTGTCTACACATAGATGTATTGACAGAAAATAGAACTCTTACAGTCTTGAGGTGATTAAACACATCCTTTCTGTAACTGACAAACCACAAAGCTACAGGAATACAATGGTAACATGAATACAAGCTTACAGAAAATTGTAACAGGACAAATGATATCATATAGCATTTAGTCTAAATGTGGAAATGGTAGGTAAGAAGTGGTATTGTGAACTGAGATATATACAATTTTATCTCAAGAAAGTTAATAAATTAAGAAATAAACAAAAAGAACAACAATAACCTTTAGGAGAAATTAGAATCCAGATTCACTATTTATTATCTAATCTATACAATTTTCAAAATCCATGTAAGATATACAAAGAAGGGAATACCCTAGTTATTTTTATACTGCTGTGATAAACTACAATGACCAAAGCAACTTTTAAAAGAAAGCATTTAATTTTGGCTTATAGTTTCAGAGCCCAAATGTTCTGAATACACGATGGTGACCAAAGGCATGGAGGAAGAAACAGCTAAGAGCTCAAATCTTGATCTGCAAGTTGCAGGCAGAGAGAGACACACATACACTGCAAATAGCATAAGTTTTATGAAATGTGAAATCCCACCCTCAATGACATACCTTCTCTATCTAACAAGGTTACATCTGCTCTTCCTTCTCAAACAGTTCCATCAACTAGAGTTCACTGTTCATACAAGTGAGCCTATGAGAGTCACTCTTATTCAAACCACCACAATAAATTGTGTGTCCCTCTCAATGCTAATAGCAAAATTAGTCAACTAGACTATATTTAAATATCTCAACCACTGGGATTAACAAGTATTCAGAACTAACTCTATAAATATGCATATCATATATGCATTCAAGACCAAATACCTTTCACCCTTTAACAGTTTCCAGAAACTAATTGGTCGCTTTTTAAGCTGCAGCTCAAAATCTTGCCTAAGTTCCATTGTGAACCCAATGTCTCCCTTGGAAACTTCCAAAACTCTTTAACAAGGAGACAAAGAATACTCCAGTTGGATTTTAATTCTGACCACTAGGTGTATCATGTTGAAAACATGACTGTCATTTTATTTTTTCTTATATAAAATGAAAAAAGTTATCTCTTGAAATTTTTGAGGATTATATTGGATCATGCATAATTGCTTTAAAAACTGTATCTTTCTAGAGCATTTAATTTTGAAAAAATGGATTAATATGTATCATTAATATTAACTATTTGCTGTATTATAAAATATTAACTAGTGGTCAATGACATAAAAGAAAGCTGACGATGTAAATTTATTTGGGTCTTTTCCCTTGTACTTTTTAAAGAAAATTACTAATTTATAATTTTCATATTAGGAATAATTGTATATTAGGTTCATGATAACAAAAAATTGGTATTAGCCACACAGTATAGATATGAAATAGAACCACACTACTTTATCGTGAAGCCATATCCAGACCTTACATTTTAAGACTGTTTTGTGGGGACTTTTCTAATAATAGCCAACCAGCAATGACTTAGTAGTCATTTACCCACAGCAGTAAAAACCTTAGTATAAATCCCAAAGACCAGAATTAGCCTCTGTATCCACCTCTGCAATCAAATCACTAAAACTTCTATATTTTGGAGCATATGTTATGTTAATTTGATTAGATTCTTTACAGTTTAATGTCTTGCATAATTGCAAATGATATTCTTGTAGCAGGCAGTGAACATTCTACTGCTTCCAATGGTTACACATGAAATTCAAGAGAGTTCCTAATAAACTGCCAATTTTGCTAAATTAATGCTGAAGATTGGCAGCAATAAAAGAGTGTTGATTAATACTTATTATTTGTAAACTACAGATGAAAGTGGTATCTTCAATTATATAACACCATATTTAAAACCTATTACTTTTGAAGATACTATATTGAGTTTGATGCTCCTTTTTGCATGAGTATGTTAATGTTAAAATTACTGTGAAATTTACAAAACCCCAATGGATTTCAGCGTAAGAAAATGAATTGAATATGATTGTTTACTTAGTGAAATAAGCAGCTATTGTTTATCTCCAAAGAGTAAAACGAAGCTTTTACATATTGAGTTATCTTCAATTTTCTTGAAGATTGTTCGCCCTATTAAGTGTTTAGAGGATCTTCATAATCCACTACAGAGGATGTAAGAAGGTAATAAGAGACAGATAATTTGGAATTACTTTAGAGCATTGTTAAAGTTCCAAAAGACATAAAGTAATAGAGATGGATGTCATTGTAACAAAAAAGATGAATTATCACTTGCAAATTACTAAGAAATAGAGATGTCTAGGTTATTTACACAATTACCATAAATATATTCCTTAATGATATTCTGGGAACTTATTTTGAGATGCATGACCTTCTTGCCTTCCCATTATGGTATACCATGAAGTATGAAATTTTCAAAATCATAATATAGTATTAGTCCATAAAAATTTTGTTCAAATTTGTGGGGTGTGTGTGTGTGAGAGAGTGTGTGTGTGTGTGTGTGTAGTTAAGATTACCTTAACTACAATGGATAATATTAAATGGTATTAAAACTCTGTCCTCTGTCTTTTATCTCTCCTCTTGTCTCATTTGAAGGATTATTAATGCCTCTCCAAATAGTGGAGGTTTTAACAAAAGCTAGGATAAAAAAATAAAAATAAAATACACATAGCATGAAAGTCCAACAATATGCAAAAAGAGACGCAGCATCACTATTTATGTGTAAAATAGCATAACTTTGGATTTTCTCTTTCAAAATTACCTAAAGGCCTAGCCCGTAAAGGTACCATGACAACATCAACTGCAGCTATTCTCACAAATGATATCAGTTTTTGTGGACTCTTCCATTATAAATTTTGTAAATATGTTTCTCTTATTGGTTAATGAATAAAGCACTGTTGGCCAATAGGAAAGCAAGATAGGTGGGACTAGGAGAGGTGGAGGATTCTTGGAACCCTGGGAGAGTTTCCATGTGATCTCAGGAGAAGAGGATGAGAGTCTGGCATTCTTGGTAAGATAAGACCATGTAGAAATACATATATTAGTAATTATGGATAAATATTTATGAAAGAGGTAGCAAATAAGAAGCTAGCCAAAAGCTTTATAACTAAAAAATACATATGGTAGAAGATCCGTTCTTGTTGGCACAGCAGTAGCCTCAACCTTTGTGATGCTAAGGTAGGATACTCTTGATTTTGAGATGAGCTTGGGCTACACAATAAAACCACGCCTCAAAAATGACTATGGAAACCAAGCATGTTGTACCACACTAGGAATCTTAGTACTTGAGAATGTAGAGTACAGGATTGGTACACTTGGGGCCAACCTTGACTAAATAGTGTGTTTCAGGCCATCTTAAAATACAAAATTAAACCCTGCCTTAAAAATACATATATACAAACTGGGAGAAGTGATAAAGAAAATGAAGGAATCTAATATTTAAGCATTATATGAAAGAAAAAAATCTCAGTCTTATTGCAGGGGACAAAAGTAATGATAAATGTTAAGAAATGGTTTAAAAAAAAAAACAGGACTTTTAATATTCCAGAGAACTTTGGCATCTTAAATGGCACTTGATCTAAAACTGTCTGTGATAAGTAGGGCAGCTAATGTCTTTACTAGCTCAAAGAGCTTCAGAGCTACTAGCTCAGCATTATGGGTGCGATGGGTTGGGGGATAGGGAGCTATTTCAGTGAATTATCTTGAAGCTCCATATTTTTATTTCTAACCCAATTTAGATCCTGCTGTTCCTATACCGGAATACTCACTAGAAATGTAGTTTACATCCTCTCAGTCCTTATGACAAACAAAAATTTACCACCACCTAAGTCATTAAAAATGCTCTGCATGTCTGAGTCACAATATGAACACAAGATGCCCAGTCCCCTCAAGCACACATTATTGAATGAGTTGTTTTAGCTGCCTTTCTACATTCAGAACCCTTCCCATCCTCAGAGCCCAGTCTTAAATGTTATATTAAACCAGAGGTAAAGAAATGTTTTTGTGAATGTGGTTTCCTCACTAGTTTCATTTTAAATGTGAGTTGTGCTAGGTTAATATTTATATTCCTGACTACTTTTAAATCTCATAACGATTTCTAATCTAAACATAGTCTTTAACATTAAAATCACACTATAATACCACAGTAGCATTTACCTTTGCTTGCATTCCAATGCAAATATTTTTGTAACCTACCCTTCTTTTTTACTTTGCACATCTTCTAGTACTACAACCTCTAGCTTCATCCTAAATGCTTGACAATATATGCATGCAGCACAGAGTGTTATTATTGCCTCCAGCAAGCTTTGTGTCATCTACTTTGTCTTTTGCTTCACTCCTTTGATAGTGTTAGCAGACCAATTGTGAATCTGCCAGATGTGTTTTCTTGCAAAAGGACAAATCTAAAAGGGGTCATGATTTTCTCTCTCTTCCAGGACTGCTTTCATTAAAGAAAAACCTTCCTTATCCTTTTTCATGAAACTGAGCTTGCTTAATCAGAGATGGAGCAAACAGACTGCAAACCTTATCAGCCTCTGTCCAAAGTCAAGCATGAAATGGATCTAGCTTATACCAGTTCTTCTGATGAGAGCGAAGATGGAAGAAAACCAAGACAGTCATTCAACTCCAGAGAAACTCTGCATGAGTATAACCAAGAACTGAGGAGGAATTACAATAGCCAGAGTAGAAAGAGGAAAGAAGTGGAGAAATCTACTCAAGGTAGGCTTTTTTATTGGATTTTTATAAGTAATATTATTTCTCATTAGGGAATGTTTATATGCATAAATATATGCCTCAAAAATAAATTTGCTGATGTTAACAGATTAATAATTCCAACTGCTTACATATGCTTAGTGAATCTGTTCCACATGTGTACCCAGCTAGGGTTGTAGGTAACATGTGCTTTTTACGGATTAAGCATGAAATTGGATGCAACAATCCTCTTATCAGAGCTTTCAGAAATTGTCTAATTCTACAAATAGCCATTTACGGACTAAAGGATTAAATAATTTATAGTAGGACATAAACAGCTAAGTGCTTTTCAAGCCATTGCCCATATGGGACACTACTTTCAAATAAATATTTGACTGTTAGAAAAGTGAACCATTCTAGTAGAGAACACCAAACAGGGGGATGGATGGTTTATGGAAAGAATGTAGAAACAGTTTTGCAATGTAGCTTAGAAGGAAACGAAGAATACAGAGAGTTCTTTGTAAGAAATACACAGATGTATTCTGCAGTCTATTCTTTAGCTACTGTGGTCTCTCAATTATGGGAACACATAATAATTACAAACAAAATCAGAGTGATAGGAATAAATTTTCCACTTTTTCCAATTAACTACATAGTAAAATATACCTATATTGGTACAGATCATTTGTGAGGGATAAGACACACTGACAATTTTTGGTTTCTTTTTAACTCACTTGGTATACCAACCACATTTCCCCCTCCTTCCCCTCTTCTTACTTTCTCCCCACCTCCCTTCTTTCACATGTCTGATCCATTCCTCAGAAAGGGTATGTCCTCTCATGAGGAGTCAATAAAGCCTGGCACATTAGACCAAGTTGCTCCCACCTGTGTCAAGGCTGAGCAAAGTATCCCATCATAGGTAATTGGCTCCAAAAATCCCTCATGTACCAGGGATAGACCCTGGTCCCACTTCCAGAGGCCACACAAACACAGCAAGGCATACAATTGTCACCCACATACAGAGGGCCTAGTTAGGTCTCATGCAGGCTACCAGGTGTAGGTCCAGAGTCCATGAGCTCCCACAAGCTCAAGTCTGCTATCTTCGTGGGTTTTCCATCCCATCATGTTCTTGAACTCCCGACTTGCTCAAATAATTCCTCCTTCTTCTCTTCAATTGGACTCCAGGAGCTTGGCACAGTGCTTGGATGTATATCTTTGCATATGCTTCCATCAGTTACAGGATGAAGGTTCTATGATGTCAATTATGGTAGTCACCAGTTTGGTTACAGGAGAAGGCCAGTTCAGACATCCTCTCCACTATTGCTAAGAGTTTTACATAGCTGGGTCACTGTAGATTTCTGGGAATTTCCCTAGCACCAGGTTTCTCCCTAATCCTACAACGTCTCTTACTATCAAAATGTCTCTTTCATTGCTTTCCCTCTATGTCCCTCCTCAAACTCAACCATCCCGTTTACTCATGTTCTCATCCCTAATCCCTTCCCCTCTATCCCCACCCTTGATTCCAGATTACCCACGAGATCTCACCTATTTCCCTTTCCTGGAACAATCCATATTTCTCTCTTAGGGTCCTCCTTTTTACCTAGCTTCTCTGGAGATTAAGATTGTAGCCTAGTTATCCTTTGCTTTATATCTAATATCCACTTATGACAGAGTATATACTATCTTTGTATTTCTGGCTCTGGATTACCTCAATCAGGATAATTTATTCTAGTTCCAAATATTTCACTGCAAATTTCAAGATGTCGTTATTTTATTTTACAGCTGAGTAATTCTCCATAGTGTAAGTGTACCACAATTTCTTTATCCATTCTTCAGTTGAGGGGCACCTAGATTATTGCCTTGTTCTGACTGTTTTGAATAATGCTACTGTGAACATACTTGAGCAAATGTCCTTGTGATATAGTTGAGCATCCTTTGGGTATATGCCCAAAAGTGGTATTGCTGGGTCTTGAGGTAGATAGATTTCCATTTTTGTTGTTGTTGTTGATGTTATTGTTTTTTTTTTTTTTTTTTTTTTTTTTTTTGAGAAACTGCCGTACTGATTTCCAAAGAGGCTGTACAAATCTGCACTTCCACCACCGTACAATTCTGCACTTACACCATCAATGCAAGAGTTTTTCCCTTACTCCATATCCTCTCCAATATAAGCTATCATCAGTGCTTTTGATCCTAACCATCATGAAAGGTGTAAGATGGTATCTCAGAGTCAGTTTGATTTGCATTTCCCTGATGACTAAAGATGTTTAGCTCTTCTTTAAATGTTTTTCAGCTAGTTGAGATTCTTCCGTTGAGAATTCTCTGTTTAGAGCTTTAACCCATTTTTTTAAATTGGTTTATTTGGTATTTGGTTGTCTCGTTTCATGAGTTATTTATATATTTTGTAGATCATCTCTCTGTCAGATGTGTAGTTGGAGAAGACCTTTTCCCACTCTGTAAGCTATCATTTTGTCTTATTTACAATGTCCTTTGCCTTACTGAAGCTTTTCATTTTCAGGAAGCCCCATTTATTAATTTGGTCTCAGAGTCTGTGCTGCTGGTGTTATATTCAGGAAGTGTTCTCCTGTACCAATACATTCAAGGCTACCTGCCACTTTCTTTTCTATCGGTTTCAGTGTAACTGGATTTATGTTGTGCTCTTTTGATATACTTGGACTTGAGTTTTATGCATGGCAATAGATGGGGATCTATTTGCATTCTTCTACGTGTTGACCTCCAATTATCCAGCAACATTTTTTGAAGATGCTTTCTTTTTCCTACTGTAAAATTTTGGCTTCTTTGTCTAAAGTCAGGTGTTTTTAAGTGTATGGATTAATGTCACACTGACATTATTTTTAAAAATGTGTATTTATCTGGGGTAGTGGTCTTCAAAGTATATACACCTGACTCAGTAGCATTAGCATTAACTGAGAATTCACTAAAGACTGAAATTCTCAGCACTCACCTTAGAAAATCCAGGTTTGTGGCCTGCCAGTTTACACTTTTAATAGGTCCACTGAAGAAATCTGATGCCTGTATAATTACTTTGATTTCTCTTGTTCAAATACTGATCATATATATTTTGGGGATTTCCAAACTACATTTTCATTCAGTCTTAACATCCCTCATAAGTTACAATTGTAAACATGCAATTACCAACAGGACATTTCCAAATTAATAACATATAAGTTACTCTAAATTCAGTATAACTAAAATGAAGAGAGGCATTCCAATAGCCCGAATTCCAAGCCTGATTACATTACTATACATCAGCTAGTTCTTGTTTGCCTTACCTCAAGACAACCACCAAAATTTTCTGTATAACCCATTGCTTCATTCAGCCCAATTGATATCTACATCTCCAATTCACTGAGAGCATTTTATTGAGATTTCAAACACAAACCTAAGGGATCTGATTGTACTTCCTTGCATCCCCCTTCACCCTTTTTCTATGTTGTTACCGATTTCTTGGCAGCAGATAATTTTGGGGGATTGAAGAGATGAAAAAGACTAATCTTGGTGTCTTAGCCACACTGAGTAAGCACCCTAAGCCCCAGATACATCTCCAGATGCCTATCCAAACACTTGGAATGCTTATCCTTTGTTCCTGTGCAAGTGTCATTCCCAGCTTAACTGAAAAGCATCCTTTACTTTCAGCGCTCTTGCACTGTCAATATATTACCAAACATTTGATTTGCATAGATAATCTCTTCTCCATAAAGCTTAAGGATATTTATTTGTATCCTTCACTCATATGGATATTCCTTTGCATATTATATACCCACATGAGGATAAGGATCATAATTTCTTTACTGATATTGTTTTCCTATAAAATTTACATATAACATATGACTTATGATTGTTATTAGTGAAGGTATGTAATATCATATTTTGCAAGCTGCAATATGTCTAATGCAGTATTATGAGTTAAACTTAATACATTCTAAATCATTACTAAAATTGTACAAGACCTCTAAATTGAGTCAATGATATGATATATGCCAACATGTAAATATATATTCACATTTGCAATATCTACTACATTATTCATTTATGATTCAATATAACTCAAAAAGTTTTGTACCTGTCTTTTCAAATAATCCATTCTAATCTGTCATGTCTATAGCTAAAGATAATATATTTGTGCAGACTAAGTCCAACTCACTGTTGATAAATTTTGTTCTTATAAATATTTGGGGTCTCTATTACTCTTTAAGAACTATATAGTCCCATTAAAATATTTCTCTGTGGAACTAGGATACAAGGTGGATTCTAAGAGATTCACATAAGGTCCCTCACAGAAGGGGGAAGGGAAAAGTCCCCCAGAGCACAGGGGAAGTGGGGGGGGCAGTGAATGGAGAGGGAACTAGGAGAAAGAGAAGGGGAGGAGAGGAAAGCATGTAGGACTAAGAAGATTGAGTAGGGGGAGGAATAGATGACAGGAGAGAGAGAGAGAGAGAGAGAGAGAGAGAGGGAGGGAGGGAGGGAGGGAGGGAGGGAGGGAGGGAGGGAGAATAAAAGAGGAAGCCATTATAGGATGGAAGAGAAAACTGAAGCTAAAGAAATGTCCAGAGACCTACAAGACTGACTCTAACCAACAATTTGAGCAACAGTAGAAAGGGTACCAGGCTACCATAAATGCCCTTCCCTGATAATGAGATCAATGACTAACTTATCCATCATCTTGGAGCCTTCATCTAGTACATGTTGGAAACAGAAGCAAATACCCACAACTAAGCACTGAGCCAAACTAGAATCCAGATGCAGAGAGGAAGCTCAAGACCACACTGCAGAAACACATAGAGACAGTGGACCTGAACATGGAGGAGCTAACGGGCCCCCAGACTGATAGCTGGGAATCCAGCATGGGATTAACTCAGACCCCCTGAATATGGGTCTCAGCCAGAAGGACTGAGCAGTCTAAGGGACCTCAGACAGTGGAACCAGGATGTATTCCTGGTGCACAAAAGGACCTTACAGGCACATCCCCCATGGAGGGAGACTCCCTTAACCTAGAGACAGGAGAGAAG